CTGACAAACAAGAATAACAATAATTGAACAATAGTTGTTGTTATACACGCTGATTACATCTAAAACAATTATTATGGAAATAAAAAATTATAAAAAACACATGTAACATATTAAAATATTAATGTCTCACAATTCAAATATTCGTCGATGGAGTAGAAACAGTACCTTAATAGTGAGTGCTTAACTCTAGCCTTGAAACGGTTGTAACTTAGACCGGTAATATCTGTTGGTATTTTATTGTATAAATGTAAGGTGAGTGAATTTCGAACTGAAAGATCCAGTCTATAAAATTGAGTCCTCAGGTGTGCACCTCTTCGAGTAGGGTAATTATGAAAGTCAGCATTTGTAAGGTACTAAGTATTATTTTTGTGAATCTCTAAAATGTTATAGAGTATGAAAATACATGGCAAGGGTACAATTTTCAGTTTTTGAAATGGAGGACGATAGTGTTCTCTGTTTTAGTAGGAACAGTTGTGTAGAAAGTTTTTTACACAGACCAGCAACATGTGCTTCCCAATTTAACATGTCATCAATTTTAAACCCCAATAAATCTACATGTTGCTTCTTCGTTAGTTGCCTATTTGATAATATTATAATTTTCTGTGTCTTATCCATGTTTAGTTTGAGATAATTTGAAGTAAACCAAGTTTCAGCATCATTATCTATTCTAGAACATAGGTCCATTGAGCCGTTAACATTTGAGTCTGCTTCTACCATTGATACATCATCTGCATAACATAAAGATAAGCTTGGGAGTAGGAAATAAATATCATTAATATATACCACAAAAAGAGTTGGTCCCAGTATTGACCCTTGTGGTACACCGTGCAAAGTAGATCTACATGTGCTAGAATTTCCAGATGTATAAACAACTTGTTTTCTCCCACACAAGTAGGTTTTCATTAGCTCTAAAGCTCTGCCACGTATCCCGCAATATTCCAATTCACCTAGTAGGAGATCATGATTTACACTGCCAAAAGCCTTACTTAGATCACATAGAGTTAGAGCAGACATTAGCCCCTTTTTGATATTCTCTATTATTGTATCAACTATAGCCATCACAGCTTGGGTTGTCGATTTGTTAGACCTAAATCCAAATTGATTTTTATTACATACTGAATGAGCATTTAAAAAGGAAATTAAGCAATCTTTAATTAGCATCTCAAAAATTTTACCAAATATAGGAATGATAGGTATGAGTCTATAGTTGTCTGGAATATTTAGATCACCCTTTTTGAATATGGGAATAACTTTACTTGTTTTGAAGATGTCTGGAAATAGTCCTTCACAGAGGCCAACGGTTGAAAAGAACAGTCGATTGACCAGAGACAAGGTGTAGGGTTTCTTTAATCATTCTACTGTTTAAGCTGTGTATGTCCAAGCAAGCAGAGTTTTTTTAATTTAATTATTGCTTGTTTAACTTCAACCTCAGTAACTGGACTAAGGAATATGGAAGTACTTGGTTTGGGGAGTGTAAAAAGGTAAGTTAGAGCATTAATATTGCAGGAAGGTAGATATTTTACAGTTTGTTCAGCTATATTTGTAAAAAATATGTTATATTCATCAGGGGAAATGCGCTTGAGGTTGAAAGTTTTTGTTTAAATTTCGCTTGTAGTTAATTAACTTCCGAGCGTCCTTGGATTTATTACTTGATTTATTAATGAAATTATAATATGGATTTCTTTCGGCATTTTGTATAGAGCTCCGGTATTGCTTTTTGTAAACTTTAAATGCACTGTCATGTTCAGGCCTTCCAGTTGCAGCTCTAATACTATTCAACGCCTGGAGGTTTTCTCTCATTTGTTTTAATTTGTCGTTGAAAAATGTTACTGGTCTTTTGTCCCTGGTATTGATTTGTTTCAGTGGGCAAACTTGATTTACAAGAGAACTGTAAGTTATGTTAATAAATTCTGCTATTTTATTTATGTTGCTGTTTTCGTTATAAGCCATCTTCCAATCAACTGATTCTAATGCTACTTGTAGAGAGTTCAATTCTTTTTTTTGTTATACATCTATTCACAGTGTTTTTATGCAATCATCAGGATAGGTGGATATTGTAATAAATTGCCCTGCATGATCAGCAATACAGGGATCAAAAATTCCTGTTTCTGGATGCACACCTCAAATATATTAATAACCTATAATGATGAAAATACATCATCAGATTAAAAAAAAGAATCAGTTTGAATACAGATTTACATTTCCGAATGAATTTAACAGTTCCCGAGTGAGATTTTTCTTTGGGATAAAGCTTGCATTGATTGACGGAAATCCTTAGAAAAATTTCCAGAATGAGAACAATATGACCATGATCATTTTTTGATTATTACTTTCAAGAAAGTAATGTTTTCAATTCTGATCTTATCGAAGCCATCAAAATTAGACATTGTCTATTTGTAGGTATAATGTGATAATGTCATCTAGTCAAAAAAATTGTTCTTTTTGTAAGTAACAGCATATAATATGAGGGAGTCTTCCATGTATAGAGTTACTTCCTTCCTTTCTTTGGAAGACTCCCTCATCCTTCTTTTTGTATCAAGATGGAGTACTAGAAAGCCAAAAACTTCTTTCCTGTATCTTTTTAATATTCATCATCTGAATACTGAAAGTGAGTAGTTGCTACTTGAATATTTTGACTTGTTTCATGATCAGCAGAAAAAAAATGTAAGTATGTTACAACAAAATCTATTTAAAATTTACCTTAGGCAATTCTTTTTCTCCGTGATGTTTAGGTCCTCCTCTATTTTTATATTTTTGATATAACATAGCCGAGTACCGTTTTTTCTCAAACCTTTCCTGATCGGGATCAATACCTGAATCACTATGTTCAAGTTTAGGCCTTTTTGGAGTTGAACCTAAACATTATAAGTAAGTGAATCACTTTACTAAATATATGATTCAAACTTATTACCTTCAGAATTTTTACGCTGCCTTTTCTTTTCTTTTTTAGTTTCAGACTTATCTTCGTTTGCAATAATTGACTCAGATGAAGATTTTTTCTCTACAGTTATGTTTACAGCTTCTTCATTTTCATTTCCAAGAGAGTCTTTGTCCTTATTCAAGGCCTCATCGACCGTTTTATCTAAAATATCAACATTTTCTATAAGAAAATCGTCGTCCAAATCCAAGAGTGTTTTTTCAAAATCTTCATCTGCATGTATTCCAATTTCCGGATTGACCTTTTTCTTAGTTTTCTTTTTTTTGCTTTTGGGTTGTTCCTCAGTTTCTTTTTGTTCAACTTTAGGAACTGGCACCACCTTACTCTGTTTGATAGGCGCGTTGCCAAAAACTTCATCTATATTTACAGGACGAAGGTTCTCCTCCTTTTCTTTCGGCTTTTTCTTGATTTCCTTTTTGGTTTCTTCTTCAGAATCAGAACTAAGAACCAAGACTGCCTTTCGCTTACCACTGGATTCTTTTTTGAGTTTGGATTTAGATTTTTCCGGAGTGCACTCGATAATATCATCATCCTCCGAATCTATCAATCGTTTGGCTTTTTTGTCTTTGGTTTTAGTAATAGCAGGCTGCACTCCACTACCAGTTTTCTTTACCACGGTGGAAAAATATGATCTGATATCCTGCAAAAATAGGCGATATAATTTAATTAAACAGACGAATATTTATTTGGCATACTTTTGACATATCGTAAAGATGATCCTGATTAACAAACCACAACAGGTATTTATTTGTTTACTAAAATTTTAAATATTGACATATAACATGCCGGACCATAACCATTTATTTGCCACTTCTTTTCATCTTGGCGGGATTTATGAGATGCATATTCAAACGAAAGCGTCTAGAGACCAGAAACATATTTGGCACATAAATATACATCATACATCAAGTGAGTTTCAACTATTTAAACGTGTCAAGCGGTTTTCAACAAATTTTTATAGTTTTCAGTGATTTTTGTCGAGTAAAAATAATATCTATATATTTTTCGAACGTCAGAGAGGGAAGGCGGGGACAGTTTCAGAAATAATCAATAGAAATTTTGGATATTCCTCAGATGAAAATATGCTATAACGGCCAATATCGTTTCAAAAATGACATTTATTAAATTATTTACAAGAGTTAGTTCTAGTTTCAATTCAGAAAGTGTTCTTCATTTTCAAGTTATTAGAAATTCAATAATCCTATTTAAGTCTTGAATTAGAGATCAAAGACATCTCAATTGTAATGCAACACCAGACAGCGTGGTTTCGATTTGACGTAGGTTTCATCAGTGGAGTTAGGCTGGGCCACATACATTGCTGGACTCGACTATCATTAAAGAACAAGTCTGCATAGAGACGATGACATCTCCCTTTCTGTCGATTTCATGTATGGGTTCGACCGAATACTTTTTCCTCGAATGTCAAAGATAAACGAAGCTCCCAAAGCGAAGCTTTGATACCGATCATGGAATTCGTAATTCAATGTAGTTTATCTTTGAAATTCGAAGAACTAAGTTTCAACCTACTACCACTTATGAGAAATATGGTGCTCAAAACAGCGCTATCTAGAGTTGGAACACGAAGACGCTATGTCATCTAATTGACTTGCAGTGAAAGCTGTAGTGAAAACAGTGGACGAATATCGTTCTGCGATCAATGTCAAAGCTCGGCTTTGCAACTAACCGTCATGGAGAGCTTCGTTTATCTTTGATATTCCAGAATTGAAATTTCTGTAGATCCCATAGATGACGTCTTTATAAAGGGAGATGTCATTTTTGCCTCTACTCATCCTTATAAATACGATGTTTCCAAGATGAGGAGGAAGAACATAGAAAATATGGAAGAAATTCTGCTGAACTGAAGCTTTTTGAATTAGAGCATTCTAGAGCTTATATTTAAATGACGTTTCGAAATTTACGATCTTCCGAATAGTTTTATACCTCATTATTGAAGTTGTTGCCAAAATAGTATATTATGCAACGATCATGTTATGATGGTTATTAAGACACGAGCATTAACCGGGATACGAAACGAGCCGAAGGCGAGTTTTGTATGGTTTTATGTGTAATTTACTGGATTTATAAATGTATTATTTTTCCCCATTCCATTGTATACTTTCGATTCTTATATCTATGCAAGAGAATGTCGAAAGATTCAATGAATTTTCTTCAATTTCGTACTATGTTTAGAGTTAGCAGGTATACGTTAGGTTTTGTTGAATGTTTCAAAGGAACTGCAATAACATGGTTTCATTATCAACAACATTGCGCGCTAGCATTTTAACTTAAGACAAATGTTGGTTTCTAGAACTTGTCAATTGAAGTATTCTGTGTGAGTGGGGAGTGGGGATACAGAATGATTGAATGTTGTTGACAGCAGGATTTTTTAGGTTATGACATTAAATTGTAGGATAATAGTAATGATAATTAATTTAAGTATTATATATTATTTTCTACAGTCAGAAAAATGAGTTTTCTGAAATGTGCATCTTTATTTGCTTTTCCTTTAAATTTACGGAGCTGCAGGAACGTTCCCAAACAGTTTTTCAATAAATTTTACTGTACTCTGTCTCCTTATAACATCAATTTGGAGTTGAATGGAACATCTTTGAATAACTATATCAAGAAACTCGAGAAGGAGTATGAGTTACTTAACCAATCAAACACACACCGAAGCAGGTGGATAGAACTGCAACCAGTAATGCAATTATTAGAAGACCGCAGGAATATAGTTCATAATATAGATAACTTGAAGGATTTATTGTCGGAAAATGACAATGAAATGCGGAAATTAGTTGAAGAGGAGAAGAGCGTTTTAGAGGGCCAAATAAAAGAAGTTGATGAGAAACTCCTACAGGCTCTGATACCTACCAACAAAGAAGATATATGTGATGCCATTGTTCTAGAAGTGCAATCAGGAGTCGGAGGTCAAGAAGCAATGTTGTTTGCTAAAGAACTATTTGAGATGTACTGCAAATATGCTGAATACAAAGGTATTCTTTGTACGGTGTTGGAAAGTTTTTTTTTTATCAAAAACTAATCTCTTAAAAATTATTCCCTTTCAGGTTGGGAAGTAGAAATTGCGGATTATGTTGAAACTGACTTAGGTGGTATCAGGTATGCCACAGCCTTGATAAATGGTCCATCGGTGTATCGATACATCAAACACGAAGCGGGTGTGCATAGAGTCCAACGCACTCCTGCAACGGAGAAAGCAGGACGAGTTCACACCAGTACTGCTTCCGTTATAGCTCTACCCCAGCCCACAGATATTGAAGTAAGCATCAACCCAAATGATTTGAAAATTGAAACAAAGCGTTCTACTGGTGCGGGGGGTCAACACGTGAATACAACTGACAGTGCTGTCAGAATAGTCCATCTTCCTACAGGTGTGGCTGTAGAGTGTCAAGTGGACAGGTCGCAAATCAAGAATAAGAAGATGGCAATGGCTCGTCTGAAAGCGATTTTGTATCAGAAAAAGCTAGATGCGCAAAACGCGGATATTGAAGCTACAAGAAAAAGTCAAGTCAGGACTAAGAATAGAAATGAAAAAATTAGAACCTATAACTTCAATCAGGATCGCATAACCGATCATAGGATTGGGGCTAATTTACATAATATGAAAGTGTTTTTCCTGGGTGGTGAACCTTTAGACAATTTGATTCAGGAGCTTGATGAACATTATTGTGTAGAGAATCTATTGAGTATTGTTAAAGACACATAAAAAATAGTTGTTTTATTTCATTGATGAATTTTATGTCATTTCATCAAAGGAAAACAAATTCGAATTGAATTTTTAGATATAATCCCATTTTTGGAGTTGCTATAGATTTTGTAATTGAAATATATTAACAAAAAGTAATAAGTATAGTGATGCCATAATTACAAGTCCCTTAAGATAAAAAAGGGGGCTGCTAATTAAATAATGTTCCACAGTCAAGAGTTCTCATTTTCAGTGTAGTAGGCATGATTTCTTGAGAAATAGTAGTAGCTTAGAGAAAAAGTGGATCTAGAAATAAGAAAATGAGTAATAAGACAGAAGAATTTTAATATAACAGGTGACATAATAATACACTTGATTTTTTATTTTTTTGGTTCTTAAATCTAGTCTCCAGTCCGACCTCCGATTAGAGTAGCATTGGCAGCTAGGTTAATAGGTAGTAGGCGCATTTAACGCTGGCAGCCTCTGCAATCAATCACCGCTCACATAAATATTTTGAGTCTTGTTTTTTTTATAGACATTGCAATAGGCTATTATTAACAGATGTCTCTGCCAGCCGATTAACCAACCATTCTTTATTCATAACTAATGACGTCACACATGACACCGACTTTTGATTTTCATATATTCAATATAAACGCGAAGATAGTTGTTACGAAAAAACCACAGACAAAATGCTTTTTGGTAAAAATCATATTTACACATAATAAATCATCATGAAGTTTATTTAGAAATGTTCATTTAATGTTGCCATCATACTGTTCTGTAGTCAAAGTGGAAAAGTTATAGTCGTTGGTTGTCTCTGTAGTCATAAAAATGTCATTCTGATATTTGTGGCAAACACTGTTCTGTATTTAATAGGGTAGGCAGAATAGGGTATAACGTGATCTTGAATCACATCACCTGACCATCATTACATAAGAATCTGAAGAAAATGATCATTTTAAGTTGCTGCTGTCTCCAGACGCTATAAAGTGACAGCGAATCAAACACTTGTCATATTCTGAAGTAAATTAAATTCAAACCGTTAACGGCAGTTTTTAATTTTGGGTACTTTAGTACTTTTAATTGTGTTTGTTTTATTGTCTGTCTTTGTGAAGTGTTAATTCAGAAAACTTTTTGAAAATATGGAAGAGAAAAATATCGAATCGGAATGCTCAGTGAACATTGCTGACATGTATGTAACAGCTTTTTTATATCTGATTTCATGAAATCCCAACAAAAATAGGAACTGTGTTTTCAGTGACTTCAAACTGTTTTTCATGTCGTGATAGGTTCATTTGAGTAGTTATTCCTAGTCCCTGAATTAGAAAAGGTTATTTTAGTAGGTATATATTTGAATTCTTTCTTGCATCAAAACAAAGTGCTGTGGCTTTTGGTGTTTATAAATAAATGCGAAGGATCGGCTTCATGATAACGAGGCTTTCGAAAAGATTTTCGTAGTTTATAATAGTGAAGGACTGGGGGATGGGACAGAATGGGCCTCTGGTCCTGAGGGTTTCCTAAACTCTGATAGTCTTTTTTAGTCAAATCTCAAACAAGACCTAAACAGGCTTCTTATCTACCAGGTCATATTCATAGTAAGTAACACTTTAATGTGAGATTTCCACTGAACAATTTGTTAAACCGCAACACGAGTTTCACTATACAATAGCTTCCTAAGGTGTCTCGCAATGAAGTGTTACTTGAATAGTTTATTTTTTGTTGAATACTGTCTGTTGGGAGTGGGAGTGGGAGAAAGAGTGGTTTGTGTATAGAGACCACATATTTCAGATACATACAAAGAAGCAGGCTGGAGAGGTAAAATCTGATTATCTTGCATCCTCAAAAATTTTCTCTTGAGTCTAAGTAATTATTTCATGTTCCTTATTGTTTATTGGGATATATGTTTCAATCTCTCTTTATGCAACAGTGAACACTGACACTGTGTCATTATGTGTATGTAAGGTATTAAACACATTAATGTCGTAATAATTGTTAAGAACTTTGTTTATAGAATCATACAATGAAATTTATTTTTTCTACACGTTATGTGCTGAGCTGGGCTGTAAGCTAATTCTAGCTTTCTTGCCCCATCATCTGTAGTCAGTGTCAGTCATCCACATAAAATATTATTTTTCATTTATAAAATATACACCATAGACACATTGATTATTGAGTAGATACAGACCTAATTTACTGTTACCAAGTCAGATTTCTGATAAGATCACTCTACACTGGCTTGAGAACAAGAATTTTTCATTAAAGAACAGTAGGTACAAAATGTCCCTATACATTTATTTTCTTAATATCAACTACTGATGAATTTGGGATAATCCTAAGTTGATGATCGTTAATATCCCCTTCTATTTTTTATTACCTTACTAATTTCTTTATGTTTGATATTATGTAGAATAAAGATTCTGTTTTTGACTCCCAACTGATTATCCTTTTTCAAAATAATTTGAAGAAACCTGTTATTCCTGGTGGAATTTTCTTTTATCTGTTCCATCATAGAGGGCACTGCAAGAAACTTGAGGCATTGTCTTGAGGATTTTAACATGTAATGGTGAATTTATGCACAGTTGATTAGCATGTAGGAAGTAACAATTAGGAAGTGCTAATTATTAATTATGAGTTGAACTCCTTACTTTCCAATGGACAGGTATATGCTGAAAAATTAACAATCATCCAGTAACAAGTGACGATGAGAAGTTAGCCTTCATTTCATTAGTTTGAATTACAATGAACTAAAATACAAGCAACAATTAAAAATTGAAATATTAACAAGAAATGAAAATTCAAAGTTATTAACAAGAAGTGAAAATAAAAAATTAAAAGTATCCAAGTCAAGTTACTTCACGACGTTTCGATTTTTAATATCCACAATCGTCTTCGGGTGATAAATGGACTTATTCCTCCGCGTTTGATGGCCTGGTTTTCGTTATTCCAAGAATTGCATTTACCGGATACCTTGTGAGTGCGGAAAAACCTATATCGGTGAAACTAAGAGGCCATTGAAAGTTCGCATTGCTGAACACAAGAAACACACACAGCGAGGAGAAACCAGCAAATCAGGAATAGCAGAGCATGTTTGGACTCATCAACATAACATCAAGTGGTCTCAAGTTGAAATCATCCACAAGGAGGAACACTGGTTTAGGAGAAAATTCAAAGAAGTCGCATATATGTTGTCCAACAATGCATTCAGTCAACTTAGCGTAGAGACACGCAACATATGGAAACCTATAATCTAGCGGAACACGACCAACTTTCGCCAAACGGTCAGCTCCCGCTAAAACCGATGAAGTGGAGAGAGGGAAAAAGGGATATGTGAAAGCACTCGAATGACCTATAAATAGTGAGATCTTGGAGGAATAAGTTCAGTCATCACCTGAAAACGATTGTGGATACTAACAATCGAAACGTCGTGAAGTAACTTGTCTTGGACTCTTTTAATTTTCATTTCTTGTTAATGATTTTTAATTTTCATTTATCAATATTTCAAATTTTAATTTTTGTTTGTTCATTGTAATTTCAGTTTTTTTTGCTTAATATAATTGTTATTTGTCAGTTAATCTTTTTAATTTTTTATAGATTCTTTCAGGGATTTCTAATCAATTTATGTCATATTAGACAATGGAAGTCCGAACTAATGAAATGCACCACGAAACATTGTCAACCACCTTCAAACAAGTTAGCCTTTCTTACTTCAATTGTACCAGATTTTTTACTAGTACCCATCTAGTTCGCAAATGATCGCTGATTGGTCCATTTCAGAATGAAGGATAACCTAACCTAATGACATTCAAATTTAAAAACTTTCTAAGCTGTGTTCTGTTCGATTTCGTTTCCCAAATAAAAAATATACAGTAGTCGATATTACAATTTTTTTTCCATGAATGCTTAAGCACTTGTGAACTATTTTATTGTGACTTTTAAATTGGAAAGACTCAGTTCAATAGTATATAAGGTATCGATTAGGTTGAGAAGCCAATTAACCACGATCAAAAAGTTGGAACCACGAGGCGTTAGCCGAGTACGATAATTCGCGAGTGGTCTTATCCTCGAGGTGCGTACGATACTTTTTCTTTGACTGCTTCAGAGATGAACTTCAGCTGGGTGCGCCAGCATTATCAACCAACGAACACTCCCCAAACCGTGGTGTAAGTGATCATTGGATCCGAGAATCACGTGCCTTGAGCAAGCGTTGTGAGTGAATAACCTATAGTCTGTACAAAAAGATACTAATTTATTCAAATCTTAAAAAAATAACTTCAAAATATTGATACAAGCAAAGCACCTAGGGAATATTGTTAAATAACTTTATACAGGGTGTAACTAAATAAGTGTAAAACATTTTGAGATTCTCTAGAAGCAGCTTTTTCTTTAGGCTTCGATGAATGAATTTTGGATTTTTCACTATCTTTGTTTTCTGCAAATTTTTTAGATTCAGAAATCTTTTCTTTTGCTTCTTCTTTGGACGACTTATCTTTAGACTTGCTTCTCACTTTTTCCTCCTTCTTGATTTCTTTAGTTTTGTTTTTTTCAGGTTCTTCTTCAGTGGCGATACCTGATTCTATGGAAACATCGGAGATCATTTTTGAAAACTTGGCTTTCATGCCGGACTTCACCAAAATCATATCTAAGAATTCGTCTTCATTGATCTCTGGTATATTGAGACCCCTAGCTTTATCGAGCTTAACCGGACCTGGATCTTCACCAACAACAAGATAGTTCACTTTTCCTGCAATGACATAGGTTTAAAACAAATAGGGATATTGAAAAATCATGATAATTACTGGAAACACCATGTACCACCTTTCCACCATGCTCTTTAACCAAATTTTCAAATTCTTCTCCTTCCAAAGAGTCTAGTATTCCAGTACGAAGGAATGTGAGATTTTTCAAACAGTCAGGTTTGCCCTAAAATACCATATATAGAATAGAATATGTTTATTTCATCACATTAACTACAAAAGTACAATAGTAACGAGTCAAACTGACAAACAAGAATAACAATAATTGAACGATAGTTATTGCTATACACGCTGATTACATCTAAAACAATTATTATGGGAAAAAAAATAATAAAAAACACATGTAACATATTAAAATATTAATGTCTCACAATTCACATATTCGTCGATGGAGTAGAAACAGTGCCTTAATAGTGAGTGCTTAACTCTAGCCTTGAAACGGTTGTAACGTAGACCGGTAATGTCTGTTGGTATTTTATTGTATAAATGTAAGGTGAGTGAATTTTAAGCTGATCCAGTCTATAAAATTGAGGCCTCAGGTGTGCACCTCTTCGAGTAGGGTAATTATGAAAGTCAGCATTTGTAAGGTACTAAGTATTATTTTTGTGAA